TTTCATTAGGAAAACTTGGCAACATTGCAGGGCGCAGGAAAGTCTTGTTTATAATTATACGGAAGTAATATGGTTGCTGGAATCAAAATAGTTCGCGAAATAGAAGGATGCAATATAGCTTTATAATGTAAGGAACAGTATACTTATTTTTCAAGATTTCACTCTCAAAATTAGATTTCTTAATATGATGAATTTTTAATAATATTTAGTGCTTTGTCTAAAATCAAATATTAAATAAAATTTAAAATAAATGCCTGTTTTTTTCGAGGGAAATCAAAAATGCATTCAAGAGTAAATAAAGTGCCCTTATTTACACTTTGCTAATTGAATACACTCATAAAGTCACAAAATACTATAAAAAGGAAAATGATAGTTTACAAATGGTATTTGTTCATTCATTTATAAAAAAAAAAAAAAAAAAAAAAAGGAATTGAGATCACATGCTGAACTCAGAATTATCTCATTGGCTAACCGTAAGGTCTTAAGTTGTTGAATTAAAAGTTGGCGAACTTTCTACGGTACGTTAAGTTCTTAAGTTACATTACGAACATTTATAAATAAGAGTACGTAAATTCATTATTTTAACCTCTTACGTTAAATTTTTAAGTCACGTTACGGCGGTTATAAATTAAGCTTTAGTCTTAAAAATATTACCTATACATAATTACGATGTTTTTAAGACGTTCTGGAGAAATCATTCCAGAAACGTTTCTTTAGAAACATCGTAGGGACGTAACATTTTTGTCAGAAACATAGAAACATAACATAGGACCTAAATGGGATGTTTCTGACAGATCAGTGTTATTAGGGTTCCAACTTAAGTAGACACTGTAACTAAGTGTAAAAGTTACTAATTTCTGTTACACAACTGAATAGTTTCAAGTTATGAATGATGGTGGCCCTAGGTTGGATACTTGTGGTAATTCGGATACCATTGTGTTAATATATTTTTGTTGTTTTAGATGTGACTTAGATATAATAATAATAATAATAATATATGTTTATTAAAAATTTTAAACGATTACTATTATTATTATTATTATTAAACAATATAATAGTAATTGTATATTATATATTTTGTAAAGGAAATATTTAGACTAATATTTGATTTTAGACTTAAAATAAAATGATATGATGCTATTTATTATTCTTATTCCTTTCCTGAACAACTTTTCTAACTGTAATCAATAGTGAATTCATAAACCCGCGTTACATTTTTATATCGTATCTCTATGCAACAAGTTTATACAAATAATTAATAACCAAGTATTAAAAGTAATTTTAAAAAACCGACTTTAAAATCGTGCAGCTGCCATCACCACTTCTTAACCAAATTTATATGGGACCACGCCTGAGGTACCCCCTTACTAACAAAAAAAGAATCATAGAAATCGGACAAGGTGGTAAAGAAGAATTATCGGAATTATATATACATAAAAAATGAAAAGTTTGATGATTTTATCTTGGACCCAATTTTTAGATTTTGACCAAATTTATGTGGGACTACCCCTGAGGTACCTCCTTAGTAACAAAAAAAGAATCATAGAAATCAGACAAGGTGGTAAAGAATTATCTTAAACATAAATGATACACCTATACTATTAGTTGTAAGTTCAAAAAATCTTGGTTTGATTCTGGACACCTCTTTGCATTTACGCAACATGTTAACTTAATTATTAAAAAAGCTTAGTGCAACTTAAAGTTTATTTATACTTTTAGACCGAAAAAGTAAAATTACTCTGTGTGGGCCTTTGATATTGTACCATTTAAATTTTGTCCATTTAGTATACTGCTAAAATGTGATTTGCGTAGACTCCAATTAGTACAGAACTCTTGTGTGCGTTTGATTTCTGGTTTAAAAAGACGCGACCATATCTCTGAAGCTTTAACTGAGTTAGGGTGGCTAAATATTGAAAAACGAATCTTGTTACATTGTTTTATATTTTATCATAAATTAATTATAAAGAACCATCGTATCTTTTCAATAAAATACCATTTAGATCAGACGTACACCATATCAACGTACGTTTTTGCTCTTACTTCACGCCGCCTATTCACTCTACTTTCCTTTTCGAATCATCCTTTTCGTATAATATAACCAAGCTATACAACAGGTTTTCCGAGACATCTTCTTACTTGCCCATTGAGCACTATAAAAAATAAAATAAAAAACTTGCCATTTACTAATGAACTAACATTCTAGACTTGTGCTTTATATTTTCGTTGTCTATTTGTTATATTATTATTTCTGCGTCTTTAACATGGAATGACTTGAACTGAGCTTGTTTTTATCTAGCTTATTATAATCATTATTATTTTTAATTAGTTTAGTTAAATAGGTTGAGTGGAAGAGAGGACTTACCCTTACTTGCAAGGATTAGACTTAACTCTGCCTTTTGACAAATATTGTATTATACTTATCTGTATATTTTTTTGTTCTTTGCCAATAAAAGCTTTTATTATTATTGTTATTATTATTATCTGTTGAAGTTCCGTCGTGACGTAACCTGTGGCTCCGACCCTACAGGGCGTTACGCGGAAGGCCATCGTGAAGACAATTACTCTTCGCGTCCGCTCGGTCAGTGATAGTCGGCCAAACTCATCTGCCTCAAAAGACGCATTGAACCGAGAACGACGGCTTTTTGCATGTTCATCACTAAATGTTCGAGCGATGCACGGCATGCCGGTATTTTCCTCTGCTCTTTCAAGATATTGTCCTTAGTCTCTCCAAGAACGCCGATTATAAGGACTACAAAATATTTGGTGTACTCAGGATATAGTGTGCGCAATTCGCCAAGCAGTTCTACGTAGTTGGCCCGCTTTTCCCTCTCTTTAAGCTCGATGTTTGTTTCTGCCGGAGCGGAAAACTCTATAACGTACATCGAGTTTTTCTGCTTATCCAGCAAGACAATATCTGGCTTATTCGCCTGAAGACGTGTTGTAGTAGGAAAAGCGTAGTTTCAATAGATGCGACAGTTAGTATTTTCCACTACTCTCTCAATGTCTCCTGCAGCATAAGGCAGCACTGGTGTTTCATCCATACCGTAGACATGTCGCAGATGATAATAAAGCACCCGAAGAGCCGCGTTGTGCCGGTAAATATAGCTTGAAACAGCATGCACAGGGCAAGCTGACAATAAGTGCATAAGTGTTTCGGGATGCTGGCGACACGTTCTAGATCTGACGTCCACAACTTCAGAAAATTGACTACGGTATACCAGGGTATTGATTACTCCATCCTTGCAAGCAATCAGAAAGCCTTCAGTCTCACATTTTAGACCAGCAGACTTTAGAAAGGTGAAAGTCAGTCTTTTGAATAGACTTAGATTTTGGACGTTTCTATAGAACACTCCGTGTTGTGGCTTGTTGAGGTGGTCTTCAAAGAGCCCTTGTTCTTCTGTTCTCTTAATACGAGACTGTAGAACCTCAGGTTCCAGCCTAGTAAGCGACTGTTCATTATCGGTATCTAACGTCAATACTAGATTTAATCTATCTGCCGCCTGTCCTGCTGCCCTAAAAAGACGTGCTCCGACATTGGCTGCTTCGTGATCTTTTATGAGTTTTAATAGTGGATCTGTACTATTGATGATTTTGCAGGCCATTCTTAGTACCAGCCTGTCGTGCAGACACTCCAAGTTTAGAAGGCCTCTTCCACTCTGATCACGTGGGAGGTAATTTCGGGAAACCGATGAGCGTGGATGAATGCTGCGATTGAGATGCATCATCTTTCGTGTGCTCACGTCCAGTTCGCGCAACTCGTCACGCCTCCACTTCGACACAGAAGAACCGGTACAGCAACGGTATTAATGGCAGTAACCTTATTTATACCGGAGAGCTCTGATTTCCATATTTTTCGGAGGCGCTGCCTATACTTGCTTCGAGCGTTGTCTTAATCGTTTCTGTATCTTGGGTACGATTTTGATAATAATAATAATAATGTCTTTATTATTTCTATAAAAATACAAAACAAAATATAATAATTTTATAATAAAACAAAATATAGAAATAATGGGCGAAGTTCATCCTTTGTAAATGTTTGATCATTTACAAAGCATGTTCTACCGACACCAAGGTATCGATATGCCTCACCTGCTTCGAGGTGGCGTAAAATTGCTCCATCAGCGAGTTGTTCATTTTCTGGATTGTTTCTGTAACGGCCTTCGTCTAAGGTTAAAATTGCACATTTATCTAGACCGAACTCCATACCTATGTCTCTAGTATATTCTTTCTTGAACCACCTTTAGAGATTGCTGTAGGTCTCGCTGACTTGTAGCGTAAAGCTTTAGATCATCCATATAAAAGAGGTGTGCCACTTTATGCCTTCGGTTTCCAGGTGGTCCACAGCAATAGCCGTAAGTCTTGCGAAGGGATACCGAAATAGGAAGTAGCGAAATGCAGAATAGTAAAGGACTCAGTGAATCTCCTTGAAATACCCCTTTTTTTAAATGTATAGGCTCTGTGATAATTTTTTCATTTCCAGATCTTATGGAAAATTTGGTTCTCCAGAGCGGCATCAAATGTTCGATGCACTGAATTAGTGAGTGAGGGATTTCAAGTGTTCTCAACAGATGTATTAGAAGTTCATGAGATGTTTTATCAAAGGCTTTTTTGTAGTCGATCCAAGCCATTGACAAATTTCGTTTATACTGGATCAAGTCCTGTGTAATACATCTATCAACAAATTCTCTTTGCATCCTTCAAGTTTCTTTTTTCCACCACGCTACTCTCCAATATCGTTTATTCAATTGCGCGCTCAATGTTCGGTAATACAAAATCCGTGTAAAAATCTTATAACAAGTATTGAGGCAAGTGATCTGTCTATAGTTTTTGGGGTCTTTCAAATCGCCCTTTTTCGGTATTAGGGTTGTTCGCCCTTCAACAAACCATTCTGGAATTGGTGTGCCCTTATTATTATTATTATTATTATTATTATTATTATTAGTCAGGTTTTCTTTTCAAATGTACTTATTTAATTTTTTCTCTTTTTTTTTTTTTTTCAGGTGCGCAGCTAACAAATTCTAAGAAATAAAAAAAATGACCAAGAAATAACCAAACCTCAAAAATCATAGCACCATGCCTCGTACTTACAGGCGCACCGACAGCCCCCGGGCTGTCTACAAGACCATTCCGTCGAGCTCCACCCCGGACATGGGCATCATCAAATCCGAGATGACGCCCAGTCCACATCTTCTGGACCATGGATATGGGGCTACGCCTTTAAACCAAGTGATGTCTTCATCAATACCGATGCAGGTGAGATTTTTATATTATATAATTTGAAGAAAGATTCTACGAATCCCAAGACACTAAAAAGGCTGATTGATGTTTTATGTATGACCAAAAATGTTCAATGTTAGTTGGAATTCAGTGTTCAGTGAGTAGAGAAGATCTGAGGGTGCTAGATCTTTTGGTAACAACCTAAAAATTATTCTATCGAGTTCCTGTCCAACGATTGGACCAGGAAGGAAGAGAAGGAGAAGTTGCCGAAGCCTCTGGAGACTTAGAGACGAAGAAGAAGAATGGCATGCATTAAATAACTAGAAAAACACAGGAGGGTTGCGAGAGAATATTTTTTACGTTAATTACCGTTTACGTTGTTCTATGTTGTATTAATTTTTAAATTAATTATCTCGCAACCTTTCTGTATTCTTATTATTTGATAAACCCCATTCATCTTCTTCTTCAAATCTCCAGAGGCTTCCACAACGTACATTCTACTCCTCCCCAGCGCAATCGAAGAAAACTCGATGAAATTATTTTTAGGTTATGTCAGTGATCTAGAACTCCTCAGATCTCCTCTACTTCAGTGTTAGAACATAAATCAGTGAGGAATTTAATAGGTCATGTAATCGTTTTCTAAAGTACATATACATCTTTATAACAGAAAAATAGGTCTCAATACATTTCAAAATAGACAAATTCCAGACATCCTTTAAAATAATAAAGAGATTGTTTAATTATGTCGGCTCCAGTTCGAGTCAATTTTTTACCAACTTTGTAACCATTAGGCACCAGCTGTCAAACGAAAACTCAACCTGGACTCGAGTAACTTCGTCGTGCCTTCTGTGGTGCCGATTGGTAACGAGTTCAAAGCTCCGCAACCGAAGAAGCCTAGGCGGACGATGCCGGCAAAAAAGAATACAAGGTACGACACGTCCTTGAGTCTGTTGACGAAGAAGTTTTCTGATTTATTGGAAAAAAGTCCTAACGGGGTCGTAGACTTGAACAAAGCATCGCAGGAGTTGAAGGTAAGAAGTTGTTATTTGTCTATTCTTCATTAAACATTGGTTGTAAGAATAGTGAGCTTAACTTGCCTTTCTTCTTTTTGTAATAGTCTATTTGAAGAACAAGAAAGAGTAAGTTCTCAGAAATGTAATAAAAGTAAAAGCCTTGAAAGCAGTAAACCACAGACCTATGTATTTTTGTAATATAATTAATAAAATAAATATAATTTAGTTAGTATTAAAAAAAAAACTCAAAAAGTTCCTCTTGTTCAATGGATTTAAACTATTAATATCGCCATGCTTAACATCCCTAATTAGTACTATGAAAGATGGTATCAATGAAATAATATGTTTTATATGCGACATACAGAACGTCACTTCTAGGAGTATTTAGGTGTTGAAGGCACCAAAACTCTTTGATACGCCCTCGTATACACATTTGAATAATAATATAATATCGTGATAAATACCTGTAGGTTTATGTTATCAGTATAAATGTCAGATATCGATTTAAATTTATTACCATACCCTTTACCATGAATCAAACTTACACATACAATGAATAAGTTGATATGCTTTTGGCATACGAATTTTGTAAAGAAAATGTTCACGAAAGTGTCTCCAAGTCCCAAATCACCAAATATTGAAAGGCGAATTGGTGAAAATTATAGATTTGAGTCAAGGAATATGGATCGAGGGCGAACGCGTACGACCAGAACTGTAGAAGTCGAGGAACAAATATTAAATGTGATCGCATGGCAGTTCCCAAATGTATTGTTAATTATAATAAACGTGCCGAGCGTCAAGTTTCTGCCATTTATGCTGCTTGGGATAAAGACTGTCCTGTTTATAAACTTGCTTTGGATGAACACAAATCTAATATACTTTATCCACCATAGCAACTACCGATAATCAGAAACACTGACAATGTTCTAATCGAAAACATACCTGACGCCAATACGTTACTTTGTTACTATCATAATTTAAGGGGAATTCGGACAAAGTTAAATGAAGTATACCTTAATACAGTGGTCGCTAACCTGTCGATCGCGAGCTACCGGTAGCTCGCGGAGGCAATTCTGGTAGCTCTCACAACGATTTTAATTTAAAAAATACAAACTGCAAAAATCAGAGAAGCTTCCGAAAATTCCACAAAAAAATCTAATTGTCATAATATTAAACATAAACAGCGGCAACGTTGCGGTGAGCGATCTGCCGCTGACGCCATCAAGCCTAAACCGACCAGCCGGACCAGCGCGTTAGTGTTCGGAAACGATCAGGACTGCTTTGAACGGGATAAATACGCACGCGGCGACATTTCGCTTAGTTTAAAACTGAACGCGTAACCAACGTCCAGCGGTTGGGTTAGTAGAGAACAACAAAAAATAATATGGCAAGCAGTTGTAAGAAGGTAAAGACATACCACTTTCATTCGGAATGGGAAGAACAATACTTTTTTACAGAAGTTAAAGATAAAAATGTGTGTTTGTTATGTAATACTTCGGTCTCCGTTGCTAAAAAAGGAAATATTGAGGGACATCATAAAACTGTACATTCTAATTTTGAAAAATCATTCCCACTACATTCTGCCGCCAGAAAGGAGACACTGAAACAGTTAAAAAAGCAGTTAATTGGACAACAATCAATATTTTTAAGAACAGTCGACAAGAATAAGGCTGCAACTGAAGCATCGTACCGTGTGTCCCAGATAATTGCACAAAAAAAGAAACCTTATGAAGACGGGGAAATGATAAAACAGACGTTTTTAGAAGCTGCTGATTCGTTATTTACCAACTTTAGAAATAAAGACGAGATAGTTTCAGCTATAAAATCTATGCAACTTTCTGATAATACAGTAATGAGACATGTAGAAGTAATGAGCAATGATATTTTTTTACAGTTAAGAACTGACTTAGATAACTGTGTTTATTTTTCACTTCAACTGGATGAATCAACAGATGTCGTTGACACTGCCCAGATGGCCGTGTTCGTCAGGATGGTTTTTAGTGATTTTACGATTAAAGAAGATCTTTTGAAGTTTATTCCACTGAAAGGACACACTACTGGACAGGAGTTGTTTTCTGATTTAAAAAATATTATTTCTTCCGAGAAAATTCCAATATCTAAAATGGTAGGCTTGACAACCGATGGCGCTCCAGCTATGGTGGGTTGTGATAAGGGCGTGGTGACGTTATGTCGTAAAGATGAAACTTTTCCGCAATTTCTCTGTTACCACTGCATTATCCATCAGCAAGCATTATGTGGAAATTTCCTGAAACTAAACAACGTTATGAAACTGGTGGTAAAAATTGTGAACAAGATTAGAGCTCAAGCGTTACAAAGAAGATTATTCAAAACCTTGTCTGATGAAGTTGACTGTCAATACGGGGACCTACTCCTCCACTCTGAAGTCCGATGGTTAAATAGAGGACGGGTGCTGAAACGTTTTAATGATGTCCTATCTGGCATAGTTCAATTTTTCAAACAACGCGATGAACCGACTCCGGAACTAGAAAATTCAATCTGGCTTAGAGATTTTGGTTTTCTCGTGGACATTACAGAGAAATTAAACGAACTTAATTTGTAGCTTCAGGGGAGAGACAAAGAACTAGCGGAAATGATTTCTGATATAAAAGCATTTATCAAAAAGCTGGAGTTTTAGGAACAAAACCTAATTAACAGCGATGCCAAGCATTTTCCTATTCTTTCAGAAAAAATATCTCAAAACCCATTAGAACCCTATGACAGCAAATATCATGTAGAAATAGTTTCTACCCTGAAGAATAACTTCAAAAATCGTTTTAAGGATTTCAACGAAATGGCTTTAGTAGCGCAGTTTGTTGTTTCACCCTTTATGGAAATTGATATCCAACAGTTTGCAACTTGTGTTATGCAGAACTTTGAGGAAGACATCGCTGCAACAGAAATGGAAGTAATTGAGTTTCAAAATGATTTAGCCTCAAAATCGTTAGTCTCAAGTACCAAATGTATCTGGCCTATTGTAAGTAAAGACAAATATTCAGTTCTAAGCCGTGTTGCCTTGAAAGTGAAAGCATTATTCAGTTCAACCTATTTGTGTGAATCTTCTTTTTCCAATATGAAGTTTATTAAGAACAAATATCGCAATCGACTTACAGATGAACATTTCGATAATTGTATTCGAATGGCTGTATCAAATTATACTGCAAACATTATCGATGAGTCTGAGTGTCAGCCTTCTCATTGAACATGCTTTTTTATTTTTCAATGTTTATGTTCATGATAGTGCGTTACTTGTTTGTTCTTATTATTAACTATTTTTAAATCTTACGTGACATGCCCTTGTGGCTGGATAAAAGTTTGTGTTTATTTTTCAAACACCTTCGTTTGGTAGGTAGGAATGTAGCTATGAACAAGTACGTACTAGTAATATTAGTTATTTTGTTATTAGTTTATTATTAGTACCTATGTATTATGTATTACCAGTTAAATAGTAAAATAAATACATATAATGATAAATTAACTGTGGATTATTTCATTTACGTTGCGTTACGTGGCTTCCGAGTGGGTAGCTCGCTGTTTATTCCAAAATTAACAAAGTAGCTCAACACATTGAGAGGTTGGCGACCACTGCCTTAATACATCAGTGGCATGTCAATTTGATATTTATGGATTTACTGAGACTTTGCTTAATTATGACTTCCATAATGGCGAACTGCTAAATTTAAATTATTATGATGTTTTTCGTTCTGATAGAAAGTATGTTCTTACGAATAACACAAGGGGTAGAGGCGTCCTATTAGCCTCTAACAAATATCTTAACGCGTCTCTATTTGATCATAATTCTTCAGTTGGTTTATTCAAAGAAATACCTAATATTGATATAATTGCTATAAAATTAAAGCTAATTTTTAAAAACATGTATATTTTTAGTATATATTTTCCACCAAGTACTCATATTGACGAATATGATAAACTATTTGATGCCTTAGAGTCACTTTATACTATCTATAATGAAAACATTTTAATAGTAGGAGACTTCAACATTTCAGAATATACTTGTTCCATCAAGGGTACTATCTTAGGAGGTAGAAAATCGCAGTCATTAATAAATTTTATAAACTATCTTAATCTATCACAGTATAATCAGTGTGTCAACTTTTATAATAGAATCCTAGATCTTGTACTTTCTAATAATAGTTGCAGTGTCTCATAATCTATCGATCCACTAGTTCTAGAAGATAGTACCATCCAGCTTTAACAATTGAGTTACGTTTACAAAATTCTTGTCATTCAACTTCTACTGCTGAGTACAACTTTAAAAAATGCATTTTACACTCGTATCTTGACTTGGCCTTCGCCGATTGGTCAATATTTGAACATTGTGACAATGTTAATACAGCTGCTGATTTATTCTATGATTTATTAAACGACATGTTCCATAGAAATATTCCACTCAAAAAAATAACCAAACGTCATTATCCTGCTTGGTTTAATGGTTATATTATTGCACTTATCGAAAAAAAGTCCAAGGACTGGAAAAAATATCGAAAGAGCCGTAATGAAGCTGATTATGTCAATTTTAAAAATATTAGAGCGTTAGTTAAATAGCAAACAAAATTATATTAGATCAACCGAATCAGATATCGCTCTCGACCCTTCCAAATTTTGGTCTTTCATAAAATCCAAAAAAAAGCAGATTTTTTCGCAAAAAAATTTGTTTCGTCGACTACATATTCCACTTCAAACTCATTAACAAATAACAATGTATTATATATAAAAAAAAAATACAGAAAAAGACATTGAGATCGCCGCAAAAAAATTAAAACCTAAAGACGGTTTTCCACTAAACGGACAGTTGAGTTTATGTTTTGTTTGTGTTTTCTGGGACTTGAAAAACAAAAACAAAACTGAGACAAACCCAAAACTCTTGTTTCCATCAAGCGGAATACATTTTGTTCCAGTTTTGTTTTTGGTCCTTTTCCACTGGTTGTCGCGAGGAAGTCAGAACACATTTTTTCAATACTTTATTTATATTTGTAATA